TTGTTTAATGTCCCTCTTACAAGTGTTCTTTACAGATTTGTTGGGCCCGGTATGGCCAAGTGGTAACGGCGCTCGACTCGCAATCTGAGGGTCGCGGGTTCGAATCCCCGTCACACCAAACATGCTCGCCCTTTCAGCCGTGGGGGCGTTATAATGTTGGTAAAAGAGTAGACCAAGAGTTGGCGGTGGGTGGTGATGACTAGCTGCCTTCCCTCTAGTCTCACACTGCTAAATTAGGGACGGCTAGCGCAGATAGCCCTCGTGTAGCTTTGCGCGAAATTCAAAACAAACAAACAAACCACGGCACATATAGCCCATTGTGTAGCTTTGTGCTTCACATCAAACAAACAAAGAAAAACCATTATAATATGCTTAATACCCAGCTTTCTCCACGACAGTTATTCTGGTTTAAACTATAATATATGTATCGATCATTAACAAACACGTTAAACTGATTGAAGAATTCATTGCCTAAAAGTTGAAAATAAGCTGAGTGTTTTAATAGATAACAATTCAGCTAATTTCTGTTGATTGCTTCATTGGTTTTTAAACCGTGTAACGATTCAGTCGATTTCTGATTATTGTTTCATTAGTTTTAAAACAGTGTAATGATTCACCTAATTTCTGTTGATTGCTTCATTGGTTTTAAAACCGTGTAACGATTCAGTTGATTTCTGTTGATTGCTTCATTGGTTTTTAAACCGTGTAATGATTCAGCTAATTTCTGTTTATTGCTTCATTGGTTTTAAAACCGTGTAACGATTCAGTTGATTTCTGTTGATTGCTTCATTGGTTTTAAAACCGTGTAAAGATTCAGTTTATTTCTGCTGATTGCTTCATTGGCTTTTAAACCGTGTAATGATTCAGTTGATTTCTATTGATTGTTTCATTGATTTTAAAACCGTGTAACGATTCAGCTAATTTCTGTTGATTGCTTCATTACTTTTAAACCGCTACAATATTTTAACAACAATAACATGTTCAAAATTGGGCCATGCTAGTTAAATATATTTTAAAAGATTGTTCTGTGTCCCAAATGCCTCGTAAGACGTATTATGTTCACACAGCTCGCCTGACATAGTGCTAAAAATACGTCCAGTGGACAAACAACAAACTGAACAATATTATTCACACAGCTCGCCTGACATAGTGACTAAAAATACGTCCAGTGGACAAACAACAAACTAAACAATATTATTCACACAGACTCG